CAGGACAGGTAACGGGAACAGCGTTCCTGCTATGGAAAAAGTGCAGGAACGCCGCTCCCATGCGTTCCTGCAGGACTCGAGCCCTGACAGTTGCTTTTGTATCTCTTTCTCTTTAATCGGTTAATAAAGTTGTTACTTCTCTCAGTGGACCTAGAGATACTTTTTATGCACTGTATCAACTATATTCAGCTTGGCTCTACAATTGTTCCTATTCCCCATTTTTCCTGTCTTTTGGGCTCTAGATTCTAAGAGTTATTAGGTATAATATTAATGTGCACTTATAATTTATACTTTTACCAGCTTGCTTGGTATTTTCCTCTTTTCTTCTAAAGAGGAATATCTGAGCATTTCGTGTGTGTTTTCTATCTCTTATAAATAAAGGGTTCATGCCCATACCAGGTTGTCTGGTACCACCTACTCTGACCAATTTTTTCCTAGTCGTGGATTTAGCATTTTGTGAATCTAGGACAAAGAAAAATAACTTTTGCTTCTTGTAATTGTGCAAATGAAACCTGGTGTCATGTATTCATCCGCTTAGAGAAAAGTGATTAATGACATTTACTGTCCACACAGGAAAAGTTGTGCCGAGCAGCAACCTAATCCATAGAAGGGTTAATGCTGAGCAGCAATTATGCAAATGAAACCTGGTAACTGACTTTGGGGTCAAAGGCCGGTTACAGCCTATCAGAACTAAAGGAGGGGTATTTAGGCCCAGTTCTCAGCCTGCTCAGTGCCCTGTCGTGGTTTCCCTTGTGGTTGTCCGAGAGCGCGTTCCTGTTTATAGTTTTCTACCTGGTTTTTGACTTTGGCTTTGTTTATTGACTTCTCTATATTCTGGTATCCTGACTCCTGGCTTTCCTCATTGCTGTGTCCCTTTCTGTGTTCCCTGACCTCGGTTAGTATTTTTGACTATTCTTTGTATGTTAAATCCGGCCATTCTAAGGACCGGTAATACGTTACTTATTTGTCATCCGTGCTGTACAGTTCTACGTGCTGGATCAAACAGTAATCCTGACAATGACATCATGAATGACAGAATAAGACTTAGTCAGCCCACATGATGTTTTGTGTGTGATGTTATAGCAATTATGTCTCCAGTATGTAAAACAGCAGTCTGTAATAACAAGCCTGTTTCTCGTTGACCCAATAGCCTCTTTATACTATATTGAATTACTCTTAATAACCCGGCTTGACAATTCTATATTCTGATATCCCTGAACTGGCTCTGTCTTATTGTCTATCTGAATTCTGGTTTCCCTTAAATCTAGTCAATATGCTAGTCCTAACTATTTTACCAGTATGTCTATTTATCGTGACGTCCGACCACTCTAAGGACCGGTAACACGTTTAATTACTTAGGTAATATTTTACGTACATGTCCTTGAGAGGAAGACTTTTGAAAAAAAATGGGAGATGGAATGAGATGCAAATGGGTATTGGAACAAGCAGAGGGGTGATGAAATAAGGAAACGAGGACAGAATGGAGGAGAGGGTGAGTGTGACACATTCATCTGTATTGCTGGTTCGTCTGTTTCCCTTTTTTTCGCTGGATTTCCTGTTCGTATACCCCCGTTCGTGTAATTTGCAAACTACCGATTGAAACTACCGAACGAACGACCACCCAGGAGAGGAGTGTGCTGCTGGTTAACCTCTTGGCCCCAATTAGAACGTTGTGGTTAACCGCAGACACCTCTCCATTCCATTCGTACGGGTGGTCGTCGTTCGCATGTCGACCACGAGGCAGCGGCCATTTTGGGACACACGAACGCATAGCGGTGTTCGGTACAAATTGTATGGAACTAAAAACGGACACTTTAAACTACCGAACACCGCTGGAAGCTGATGCCCACCTTCTATTTCGACAAGGCATGCGAACGCCGGTCGTTCGGGAGTTTTTATGCATTCGTATGGACTTTTACCCAGACAGCCGTCCCATGGAGTCATTCGTATACCGAAGGACTGGTGAAAGACTTTGACTCCATGGCGATTCGACTAGATACATCGGATCTGAGCGCTATTCGGTGAAAATATGCACTCAGATCCAGGCTGTCTGGGGATACGTTACACGAACTATATTCATTCGGTATTTCTTCAGTTATGTATTTTAATGTATTTTTGCTACTGTAATTTAAAATGGCGATTGTCTCTACCCTGGGAGATAATTAGGTTTCTTCCTAATTATCTCCGGGGTAGAGAAGACGGATTTATGGGTAAGATGGGAAGGGCTTATATTGAAGCCACTGCGATTGGCTACTGTATAATATATTTTACAGTCTTCCACAAGGTCCTCTTGGGGAGTGTCCACCTTGTGGAGACCTGCATAAATACCGGGCAGGTAGCCCCCATTAAACAGATCCTGATTTGACCCTCAAGACGGAGCTTGGTCTCGTTTGTGGGGGGAATTATTACTGGGACAGCGATTTCGTTATTTTTAGCTGTGGAAGGCGTTCGACTGTTTTGCTGATCAGGAGTTGCCTTGTTCGTGGACTTCGTTCGGGAGTTTGACGGTCGGCTGGATATAAACTGCATTTCTGGAGAAGGGGATTATTTACTAAACGGCGGCTTCATCTACCTGGCGGTGAGTGTCTTAACAGTGAGATTAGATGAAGATGGTGAGATGATGGTTTATGAAAATAAAGGGCGGGAACATATTGAGAAAGAAGTGTTTTCATGGTCCCTCAATGTCAGCATATTGGTACAATAACATCCAGCCTCTGACATAATGAAATTGGACACGTGTTTAAGACATCATAGCAGATATACAGGTGATACTCGAAAAATTAGAATATTGTGCAAAAGTTCATTTATTTCAGAAATGCAATGAAAAAGGGGAAACTAATATATGAGATAGACGCATTACATGCAAAGCAAGATAGTTCAAGACCTGATTTGTCATAAGTGCGATGATTATGGCTTACAGCTCATGAAAACCCCAAATCCACAATCTCAGTAAATTAGAATATTGTGAAAAGGTGCAATATTCTAGGCTCACGGTGTCCCACTCTAATCAGCTAAGTAATTATTGAAATAAATGAACTTTTGCACGATATTCTAATTTTTCGAGTATCACCTGTATAAATGCCAGGGAACAGAGAGACATCTTTTCAGATAACTGTATTAAAAAAATAATTCAATACATGCATTGTCTTTAATACACAAAGGGTAATGAAATCCCCTATGTCATATCTCATTAATAAATGATATAATCAATTTCTTACACCTTTCGACTTAGTGCATGTATTTCACATTTTATAAATATGTTGTATTAAAAAGATGAAGGGCATATGATAGGATTTGACTTCTACCTCGACCATTTCAGTGTCCTGTCATCATTTAACATTTTCTTGTTGCAATTGTTTCAGCTTAAAATAAAAGAGAAAAAAAGAAAATTCTATGATATAAGAACTTAGTATGAAATATAAAATGACAGCAGCAAACTACAATAGACCGAGGAAGGAGCAGAACATATCTCGAAGGGCAAAATTAACAATAATTCCATATTTTTTCACAGTCTTGCAGGTATTTTTCTTTTAATATATTTCTTGTCCGTTTTAGATACTACCAACTGTGCACCTTTGAAAATGGATATTTCGGCCCAAGGCTATAATTCTAGCCAAGCACTAATGTCCTAACTATATCTTTATTGCTTTGAATATAGATTTTTTTTTTGCATTAATAAGATGGCCACATGCTAAGAAAGTAACCTCTGAAGGAGAGCGAGACTCGCGGGAGGAATGCTAATAGGGGTAAATGGAAATGTGTTAGAACTCATCTACTTTTTTGGGATAATATGCTGTTCAAACCTATAGTACTTAAAAGGTTAATGTGATTGTTAAAGGATTCAGAACAAGGATTTCAAGGCATTCAGAATGTAAAAAAAACAAGTCCTAAGCTTTAAAAATAAACTGCTACTTTCATTGGGATTAAGTTTATTTTTGCCGGTGCTGCATTTTTACTCCAAAAATGCAATTTACTAGCTTGTGCAAGTAAGCAAAAAACAATAGCCTTTCGAGCAGAGCAAATGTTCTATAGCAAAGCATTGAAACAGCACGTTATAACCCATTCAGTAGATGGCACTGTGGCTCTTAAAGGACAGCATAGGGTTCATTTGATCCTAAAGATTAAAAGGTTCACTTTAGTAGCATCATTGTGTTGTCATTACGTAGGCTGGACACAGGGGCGTACCTAGAGCATTTGGCACCCGGGGCGGATCCTGTGCTTGGCCCCCCCAAAAAAAAAACCTGTAAAAATTTTTAAAGGTTCTCTTTTTTTTTTTACAATTTGTAAAGACTCCTGTCCCAATACAAAACCCCCGCCCCCTTCTACAAAATCCCTGCAGCCCCACACACACATTTACACAGTCACACACTCAGCAGACAGTCACACACTCAGTTACAGGCAGACAGTCACATACAGTCACAGGCAGACAGTCACACATACACATTTCCTCCGTGCGGCCAGTTTATCAGCTGTTTGCTTGTGTGAGCTGTACTGGCCGCACGGCACCCTAACTACCATGGGACACTGTGCGGCCACAGCTCACACAGCCCCCTCCAGCCAGGGCCGGTGCAAGGATTTTTGCCGCCCTAGGCAAAAGTAAAGTTTGCCGCCCCCCCCCCATGTGACATCACAATGCCCCACCCATATGATTTTCCATGTTAACTAACGCCAGTGCTGCAGTGCCGCCGTGTTTACATTAAAAGGCCTGCAAGGACAGGCTATAGACACCAGAACCACTACATTAAGCTGAAGTGGTTCTGGGGACTATAGTGTTTCTTTAATGTGAGGTAAATTAGAGCTTAGTGCCACGAATAATATACTAGATTGCCTACTTACAACCAGATGAGGATGATGATGGCTCTAGCTGCAGTCTGGCTCCACTGGTCTGGTGCAGAACAGGCTCTCTGGAGGCGGTTTGTAACTGTGGTCACAAAAATCAATGTTCTGGGAGAGCGGGAAGCAGCTCCATTTTTTGGGGGGTCCTTTACACAGCTCAAGGTCTGGGTCCCAGGGTCCACCTTCATGTTCCACCAATGAGTTTGTTCACAGGGGGTGGAGTGTGTAGGGGATGTCCTGATATGTGTGTAAGGAATGCAGTGTGTGAAATTGTGATTGTATGTGTAAGGGCTGCAAGGTGTGTTTCTGTGTATGTATGGGATGCATTGAATGTGTGTAAGGGGTGCATTGAGTGTGTGTAATGAATGCATTGTGTGTTTCTGTGTGTGTAAGGGATGCATTGTGTGTAACGGTTGCATTGCTTGTGTATGTGTGTCTGTGTGTGTAATGCATTGTGTGTTTTTCTGTGTGCAAGGGGTGCATTGTGTGTATGTGATGAATGTCAATCTCTCCTCCCGCTCCAATTTCCTTCTCCTCCTCCCAATTTCTCTCTCACCCCCCCTCCTAATTTCTCTTTCCCCCCTCCTAATATCTCTTCCCCCCTCCTAATTTCAATTTCTCCCCCCCCCTCCTAATTTCAATTTCTCTCCCCCCCTAATTTCTATTTCCCCCCTCCTAATATCTCTCCCTCCCTCCTAATTTCTCTTCCCCCCTCCTAATTTCTCTCTCGCCCCCCCTCTCCTTTCTCACCCCCCCTCTCCTTTCTCTTTCTCTCCCCCTCCTTTCTCTTCCTCTCCCCCTCCTTTCTCTTCCTCTCCCCCTCCTTTCTCTTCCCCCTCCTTTCTCTTCCCCCTCCTTTCTCTTTCTGACCTCCTTTCTCTTTCACACCTCCTTTCTCACCCCCCCTTTCTCCTCTTTCTCACCCTCCCTCCTTTCTCACCCCCTCTCCTTTCTCACCCCTTTCTCCTCTCACCCCCTCTCCTCACCCCTTCTCCTTTTCACCCCTCTCTCCTCTTTCACCCCCCTCCTCTTTTCACCCCCCTCTCCTTTTCACCCCCCTCCTCCTTTTCACCCCCCTCACACTTTCTTCCTGTCTCTTTCACCCCTCCTCTCACCCCTTTCTCTCTCTCACCCCCTTCTCCTTTTCACCCCCCTCTCTCCTCTTTTCACCCCCTCTCTCCTCTTTTCACCTCCTTTTCACCCCCTTTCTCCTCTTTCACCCCCTCTCTCACCCCCTTTCTCCTCTCTTGCTTCTCGCTTTCACCCCCTCTCTCCTCTTTTCACCCCCCTCCTTTTCATCCCCTTTCTCCTCTTTCCCCCCCCTCCTCTTTTCACCCCCCTCTCCTTTTCACCCCCCTTTTCTCCTCTGTCCCCCCTCTCCTCCTTTTCACCCCCCTCTCTCCTCTTTTCACCCCCTTTCTCCTCTTTCACCCCCTCTCTCACCCCCTTTCTCCTTTTCACCCTCTCTCTCCTCTTTTCACCCCCTCCTTTTCCTCACCCCTTCTTCCCCCCTACCTTGCTGTAGTGGCCGGGCCAGTATGGTCAGCGGTGCAGAGGCAGCTGTCTCCTGTACCCGGCCGGACTAACTGGGAATACACTGGTGTGCGCACCTGTTAGTCGAGCGGGTACAGACAACACTCTGCGTCGGTCTTGCTTCTACAGGGCTCGGCCGCCTTCACAGGGGATTGGAGGGCGCTCAAGCGCTTCCCTCCTGTCCCCCAGGCTGCGCCCGGTGCGGTCGCCCTCGTGGGCCGCAGCCGGGCCGCTTCAACACTCCAGGCTCTTTACAGGCGGCTGCAGCAGGGGGCGTGAGGTTAGTCTGTACCCCACCCGGCTGGCACCCGGGGCGGACCGCCCCCCCCGCCCCTTAGTACGCCACTGGCTGGACAAGAGTTCCAGGTGGCTAATCTGGATTTTGTGGATGTTGGACCACTGACGTCAGCACACACAACATGCTGGTGACAGACATTCAAAGCCGGCACCAGGGCTGTATTTGCCGCGAGGCAAACAAGGCATTTGTGCCCAAGTGCCCAGGCAAATGCCTTGCTTGCCTCATCCTGGGGGGTCCAAGAGGTGGCTGGCTGGCCGGTTAGGGCCCCAAAATGCGTTCAGACACTCAGTGTGTGGCAGGCGGCGAGGGAGCACAGTCCCTTGAGTTCTTCCTGCTCCTATGATGCCGGGAGTCGGAATATGACATCACTCCGGCCTCGGCGGTGAGCAAGGGTGCAGAACAGGAACAGTTCACTCGCCGCCTCCATTGAGCGTCTACCTGTCCGCCCAGCCAGGAGCCTGCCAGCAGCCTAGCCAGAAGGAGCCTGCCAGCAGCAGTCAGGGACAAGATCCACTCCAGCTCTCCCAAAGGTAGGGAGGCTGGGTGGATTTAAATAATAAAAAATAAAAAAATTGGTGTGTGTATGAGAAAATGTGTGTTTGTGTGTTTCTGTTAGTGTCTGTCAGTGAGTGTGTGTGCCTGTCAGTGTGTGTGTGCCTGTCAGTGTGTGTATTTGTCTGTCAGTATGTGTCTGTCAGTGAGTGAGTGTGTGTGTGTGTCCCTGTGAGTGTGTGTCTGTCAGTGTGTGTATTTCTCTGCCAGTATGTGTCTATCTGTCAGTGTGTGTGTGTTTGTGTGTCTGTCAGAGACTGTGTGTGTGTCTGTCAGTGTGTGTGTGTCTGTCAGTGTGTGTATTTGTCTGTCAGTATGTGTCTGTCAGTGAGTGTGTGTCTGTCAGTGTGTGTGTGTGCCTGTCAGTGTGTGTATGTGTGTGGCTTTGATATGAAGTGGTGGGGCAAATTTAGGTTTTGGGGTGCCCGAATTTAGTCGTGCCTAGGGCAGCACAAATCCAAGATACATCACTGGCTGGCACCCATGTCCTCCTCTAAGCCTGCCCTCCCTGACATCCATCCACCTCCAGCAGAGGGAGATCTGGTTGCAGGGAGAACTTGGTCTCTGTGTTGGATTGTAAAGAAGTTGTAGCTTTATTTTTTTATCATCGGGGAGAGGGCAGACTAGCACAGTAAGGGTTAACCAAAAACATTAGGGAACTTGGTGGTTGGTTTCTCTCTTCCACAACACTGTGCGAGGGGGTAAAAGAATGAATATACCGAGGAGGGTTCTTTTAAAATTACGAGAGGACTTGGGTTTAAAGGGATACTATAGTCATCCAGACCACTTCAGCTCATTGAAGTGGTCTGGGTGCAGTGCCCCTGACTCACTTAGTCCTGCAATGTAAATCATTGCAGTTTTAGAGAAACTGCAATAATTACCTTTGCAGGACTAAGACTGCCTCCAGTGGCTGTCAATCAGGCACTTCCTGGATACTCCCGCAGACTCTGAGTCCCTTAAATTATGCTGGATATCCTCATACTCTGCATGAGGATGACATCCCCATAGGAACGCATTCAGGCAATGCTTTACTATGAGGAGGGCCTAATGTGCTTGCCGTGCTTGTTGCACATGTGCATTAGCTCTCCCCATCGTATGAGGTTTGAGGTGGAGCATTGACCTAACACAGAGGGACAACAACGCTGGAACCAGAGTCTGAAAGGATTTTTTTTTATCATTTATGTGCCACAGCGGGAGGGAGGAGTGTTGGAGGGGGAGGACCATAGAGCACTATAGTGTTAGAAATACAGATTTGTATCCCTTTAATCTAGCCCAGTCTGTAATATGGACCAGAGGGGTGCGCATTTCCCTGTCTAGTTATCACTTGGCCACTATAATGTTTTCTGGTGGTGATGGTGTTTTTGCAATAATGGGAGGCCTAAATAGCTTTATAAATAGTTTTTTTTTACCGCAGAGAGGTTTGCATAGATTGGGACACATGAGGGTGTATAAATAATAAGGATATGCTTTATTATGAAACTAACTTAGATTCAGACAGAAACTGAGTAGACTTGCAATAACAATAGTTGGTTTAGGAGTATCACTCCCAGAACAATAAGGCAAACAGTGTGTAATCAATCATTTAGACAGAGTTCTTTCTTACTATCTACCTGTAGAATAAAGTAATGCTGGTTGGACAGAACAGCGATTAAATGGATACTGTGTAGCGGAGTTTGACAACAAAGTAACGGGTTATGAGGTTAAGTGGTGAGGAGAAGTTAGAGCATGGATGATGACGTACAGTTGGAGTTGTCTTGAGTATTAATCTAAAGGTGTGCATAGTAACAATGTTAGTTTAGCAGTATACCACTTCATGGAGTTTGTCTGAGAACCAGAATACGTTTACAGAGGAAATATGAGTGATAATTTGTTGTTTATTGTGAGCTGAAAGGCCAGTGTGATATGCAGGCAAATACAGCATATAAGTACAGTATGAGTACTTATGGAATAACATCATCAGGTTTACCTTGTGCAAAGTCGAGAGCCAGGAAGTGTCTCTGGGAAATACAGCAATACAATGGAGTTACATAGTTACATAGGCTAAAAAGAGACATGTGTCCATCAAGTTCAGCCTTCCTCACATTTAGAAACATAGAAACATAGAATGTGACGGCAGATAAGAACCATTCGGCCCATCTAGTCTGCCCAATTTTCTAAATACTTTCATTAGTCCCTGGCCTTATCTTATAGTTAGGATAGCCTTATGCCTATCCCACGCATGCTTAAACTCCTTCACTGTGTTAACCTCTACCACTTCAGCTGGAAGGCTATTCCATGCATCCACTACCTTCTCAGTAAAGTAATACTTCATTTGTTTCATATTTGTTTTTGCTGTTGATCCAAAAGAAGGCAAAAAACCCAGTTTGAAGCATTTCCAATTTTGAAACAAACTAGGGGGAAAAAATCCCCCTTGACCCCAGAATGGCAGACAGATTTATCCTTGGATCAAGAAGCTATTACACTACTTTGAAAAATAATATCCTTGAATATTCTGTTTTTGCAAGTATGCATTTAGTTGCTGTTTAAACATCTGTACGGACTCTGATAAAACCACTTCATTCCATACCCTTACTATTCTTACGGTAAACATTTTTTTCCTTTGTTTTAGACTAAGAGTTCCATTATCGATTGGTGTAGGATATCAAAAAACGGGGTCTGGAACAAGCAATTTGTCATTAGGCAGCAAAGGAGGTCTCTATGAAGGAACAGGCTGAAAAGCAACAAGTGTTCTCAGGAGCCACAGACTAGGCTGGTTAAAGGGACACTATAGTCACCAGAACAACTACAGCTTAATGCAGTTGTTCTGGTGTCTATAGCCTGTTCCTGCAGGGTTTTCAATGTAAACACTACCTGGGGACACTCAGATGGCCACTAGAGGTGCTTCCTGAGTCAGGGCTGTACAATGTGCATCATGACGTTCAACGTCTCCACATGCTGCATGGAAGTACTGAACTGATTAAGTGCATCTTTGTGAGATGATGCTTATTGGTGTAGTGTTGCATCCTGCCGTGCATGCACCTTCGCCTCCCAGTGCTTTCCTATGGAAAAACATTGGAGTGGCTGAGAACAT